TCCTGTTTCTCCCTTGTGTGATAGTTTGCTGAGAATGATGGTTTCCGTACATCCATGTCCCTACAAAGGACACGAAATCATCCTTTTTTATGGCTGCATAGTATTTCATGGGTGTATATTGCTACATTTTCTTAATCCCTAGTCTGCACTGGATGGACATTTGGGTTGATTCTAAGTCTTTGCTATGTGGAATAGTGCCACAATAAACATTACGTGTGCATGTGTCTTTATAGCAGCATGGATTTATAATCCTTTGGGTATATCCCCAGCAATGGGATATGGCTGCGTCAAATGGTATTTCTACAAAGGCCTTTTCTGCATCTATTGAGATAATCATGTGGTTTTTGTCTTTGGTTCTGTTTATATTCTGGATTACCTTTATTGATTTGCGTATGTTGAACCAGCCTTGCATCCCAGGGATGAAGCCCACTTGATCATGGTGGATAAGTTTTTTGATGTACTGCTGGATTCGGTTTGCCAGTATTTTATTGAGGATTTTTGCATCGATGTTCATCAGGGATATTGGTCTAAAATTCTCTTTTTTTGTTGTATCTTAAATTTTTGGATTTTGATAGCCTTTTCTATACTCTGGATACAGGTGCTTTTTGGATACATAACTTGTAAAGATTTTTTCCAACCTGTCATTTGACTTCTTCTGCTCTCAACATTGTCATTCTTAAAACTAATTTTTTAAATTATTGAGGACGTCTGATATATTGTTTCTTTTTGAATTTTGGTTTTGTTTTTGAGACTTCTTTTCCTAATTCCTGGTCTTAAGATTTACCCTATGTTTTCTTATAAAATGTTATACTTTTTAATTTGACTTTTTTTTTTTTTTTTTTCTGATTGCATTCACTCATCAAGGGAAAGACAGTAAAGAAGGATAGAGTAGACCTTCCATCACAGGTAGAGGTTGCCCCAGCCTAGTCCTGCCCCTGCTATTTGACCTGAGTAGCCCCAGAAAAAGTACACAGATAAGGACTTTTCTGACTTTCCTCTTGGGCATCTGAGGGAGGTGAGGCTTTTTCTGAGGGGTGGAACTTCAGATCAGCGAATGGATAGTCTTGTCCTCTACCCCACATACTTCAAGGTAAGGACTCTAAGGAAAGACTGAGGGGACCTCCTGCCACAGATATAGGGAGCTTTAGCCCTGCCCTCCCTGTACTGTTAGCCCTGTGTGGCCCAAGGCAGGTTTCCCCAGTTGTGATGTCCGTAGACTTTATTTCTGGGACCTGAGGGAGGTGAGGCTTCCTCACCTTAGACTCAAGTCAGCAGAGAGAGGATTTCCAGCTCCAGCATGCATTAAGGTGAGAATCCGGAGAAGGGACAAAGGTAGCCTTCCTCTATAGATAGACTGAGCCTCAAAGAACCTGCCCCTCGTGTGTATCCTGAGAGGTCCCATGCATGGATATCAGGTAGCAAAAACCTTCTCCATCCCCTGATATCCTTTTAGAGCCTTTCATGGAGATGATGTCCTTGGCCTGAGGAAGACAGCCTCAAGTCAGCAGAAGGGCGGGGGTGAAGACCCTGATCAAGAGTAAATATGATTACCTTGAGGAATTGAGAAGTACACAGGGGACCTCGCAAAATCCAGTCTGTCTCCACTCTTAGCCCTGGGAAGAAAAGATTTTTAAAATTGAGGAAGTCTAATATATCATTTTCTTCAATGAATCATGATTTAGTTTCAGGTATTACATCTCTTTGCCTAAGTCCAGTTCAATAGATTTCCTCCTATGTTTTCTCATAAGTTTTGTAGCTTTTAATTTAATTATAATCCATGGAGCTATAATCCATGTTAAAATAATTTTTATATTAAGTGTGTGATTCAGGTAAATTTTATTTTATATTTTTGCATATGGATGTCCAGTTGTAGTCATAGCATTGATTAAAATACCACTTTACACACATTTAATTGGCAAAAAGTACAAAAACAAACAATATCAAGTGCTGATGACAATGTACAAAAATGAAAACACTCTTACACTGCTAATAGAAATGCAAGCTAGTGCAGCCTCTTTGGAAAGCAATCAAGCCTACAGCGCTTGTACTCTACAACTTTGTAATTTCCTTTCTAGATATAGGCCCGCAGAAACTCATATAAATGCACAATGAAACATGTAATTGAATATTAATTGAGCATAATTTCAAAATAAAAAGTAACCACTAGGAGATTTCATAAGTAAAATACAGTATACACATAAAAAAGGAGTTTATCCATGCATCTGATAAATAAACCAAATCTACATGCTGCAATGAAAATAAAGCTCAAATAATTCTTACCTTCAAAAAAAGAAATGAAGCAAGATTTGTGAACAAATACTACTACTTCTGTAAATTTAACACACACACACACAATAATATTACACACTTTCACATATGTGGAAATAAATATACGAATAGTGAAATAGACATTCACAAAACAAGCAAGAGTGGGTGCCTTTGAGTGAAGGACAATAGCCAAGGGAGGTTTGATGAAGAAGAGAGAAAGTAATGAAGTAAAATATAAACAAAAGAAAGGTTTTCAGGAAAAAAAAAAAAACCACCACTAATATTTCTCAATTCAGTTGTCTTGAGACATTTGTAAACACTCCATGGACCTTTCTGGGGCCTTCTTCTGGATTATCTCTTCTGTTCCATTAAAAAAAATCTATCCTTTAACCAATGCCATACTTTCTTTTTTTTATTTTATTTTTTATTATTATTATACTTTAAGTTCTAGGGTACATGTGCATAACGTGCAGGTTTGTTACGTATGTATACTTGTGCCATGTTGGTGTGCTGCACCCATCAACTCGTCAGCACCCATCAACTCGTCATTTACATCAGGTATAACTCCCAATGCAATCCCTCCCCCCTCCCCCTTCCCCATGATAGGCCCCGGTGTGTGATGTTCCCCTTCCCGAGTCCAGGTGATCTCATTGTTCAGTTCCCACATTCTTTGTTATTACTGTAGCCTTATAGTTGTAAGAATCAAAGAAAGAGGAAAGAAACAGGAAAGGTGGCTTGACAGCTAAAGACACGTTTATTAACTTCACCCTCATACAATGAGCCCCAGTAAAACGGTGGGCCTTAATTTCAGGTGCACTAAGATAGGGAAGTTAAAAGCAGACTCAGGGAGTATGCCTGCAGCAGCAGGAAGATGTATGGGAACAGAGCCAAAACTCTCCCTCCCAGATAAGCACAACAAAGAAACGCAGAGGCAGTCCAAACCGCTGATGAACTCTCCCGCCTTAAATCCTTAAAAACTCTTAGTCTGTAACAAAATAAATAAATAAGTAAGTAAATAAATAAAGATTTTTTTTTTTTAAAAAAAAAGGGCCTCTAAGCTAACTCGGCCAAAAGCCCCTCTCAGGTGTATTTCTCTAAAATAAACCTGGAAACGCCTATGCATTATTTTTTGTTAGTAACTATTACTGCTGCTGTGAGGATAATAATTGAGCAAAATGTTACAGTAACTGAGATTTTCTGTCTGATATTTTACCTTGAGGGTGTTGTAATAGATAGTCCTACTGCAAATAGTAGAGTGAGTAAAGCAATTCCTGAAAGGGTGGCATAGTAAATAATTTTTATTAAAAACATTTTAATATTTGGCTTAAAAGGAGAGGTAGAAATGAAAAAAAAGTATTTGGTGAGCTAGGGGTGAGATTGAATAAAATGAGTAATTTTTACTCCATTACTTATTCTTTATGATTTTCAGCTTAAGATTTTTTATTTATTTACATTAATATTTAGGATGTTTTTCTGGACTGTTAGGGATGGCTTCCTTAACTTTTTAGGCTTTGATTTGAGTGTGATGTAAGCAGGAGTTAATTTCTGTAACGGATATAATTTCAACTGTAGCAAATAATAAAAATCCAAAAACATTAGGCCAGACTAGAATTTAACAATAGGTGAGCTACAGTTTTTGAAACATAATTTTCTTTCTTCAGTTTCCCATTTTTATTAAAAGACAAATTATGGTAGGATTGGTTTGCTTTATTATACTTGGTTTAATTATTTATATACAGTGCAGCAAGAATTTGCTACTAGGCCTTTTAAATTGGCTTTGATGGAACTTTGTTTCTTAGAAGGAATTTGAGATAAGACTTTTTAAAGTCAAGCCCAGCCATGGATGGATTTGTACCATTAAATACCTATGAGTTGAGCTTTTTTTTTTCTGGAGGTTCTAAGATCACTTGGGGTTCCTGGCCTGTTAGAAAGTGACATTTTTTGCTTACCATAGATTAGAAACCCTGTACAGGGACTGTGTACACAAAACACGAGGTCAGTTTTTCAAGGGTTTTGTTGACTTTATAAGTTGTTTGTTTTTTTAAAGGAGAGCATACCATTCCAGTTAAAGCCTTGGTAAAATAACCAGTTTTTTTTTTTTTTTTTAATTGTGTTCTGTTACAAAATAAAACAGGTTCTTATTGTGCTTCTGCAAACAACTATGTTGTTGTAATTTAAGAATACTTATAACTGGTTTTTAAATTTTAGAGGAACTGGGCAGAAAGAAAGAAAGACACTTTAAATTCAGTTTACAGGAGTATACTTTGCCTAGCTGTTAAAGGCTTTAGCTAGCTTAAGACAAGTTTTCTTGACTTTGAAAAATAAAATAAGGGTTAGCAGTGTTTTCAGCAAAAGGTAAAGACTTGTTTTTGTGTTTTATTAGTTTAGTCCATTTTATTAACTTTTGTTTTGCTTGATATTTATAAACATTTTGCTTTTCATGAGTTCTGTATATTTTTTTGTTGTTGTGAGAAACCTGCATTTGAGAGCACTTGTTAAAGTGATACAGCTTGATTATAAATCATGTTTTGAAGAGAATTAAAACAAAATAACAATTGTCTGTAAATAACAAAATATCTAGTTTGGGTACAATAAGAAACACAGTTGACAAAGAAATTTGGTTATTTCTGTGGTTTACAATAACCTAACATAACAGCTTTCATTGTGATTAATAGCATATATTTGGACATGAGAACTTTAGACATACCATACAGTTTTGGAACATATATTAATATAATAATATTATTCCCTAAAATATAACCTATTAGACATCATTTTTGCCATTTTATGTACCTAAGCATGTTAAATAATTCTGTTTACCTGTTTTCCAGATGCTTCAGAGGCCCTGTGCCGCACCCAAAAGTCAGGGGTTAGGAAAGACAACCTTGACACTAAGGTTTGATTTTGGGAAGCGTATTAAATACGTTTGAAATTTAAAACACTTGATATTATGAAATAGAATTTTAGGTTACCCTAAGTTGGTTTTTGAGGATTTGTTTGTTTTGTTTTGTTTTGCCAAAATAATGAGCTAAAAATTTGGGAAAGCAAAATCCATTTATTAGCCTTTTCTATTACATGAAAATCCTGTTTAAGAGAGAAAGTTAAATTTTACCCTTGCATTAGTTTGCTAGTAATGTTAACCCGAATTTTAATGAAATCTTATAGACAATCCTATTTAATTTTAACCAGTTTGACCATGAAGTGAGGTTTTTATATACCTTTTAAAACCCTTGACAAGTTTTGCTAAAGAGTAGATTAGCATTTTAAGAAAACTTTGGTGCTTTAATTTTAGTGTTTAATTTATAGAAAAAAAAACCCCATATAATACCCTTTTGAGTTTAACTAATATTTTTACACAGTTTTGTTTTTTTTGCAGGATTAATTTCTACAATGTTTTTATAATTTGCTGAAACCATTCACTTTATTTTATTTAATTTTAAGACAATTTTTTATTCTTAAGAAAAATGTATATTTTTATGCCTTCTTATAATTTTTAACTAAAAACACTTTTTTACTGTTTTTATATACCTTAAATGCAAATACATGTTTAGTAGCTTTAATTACATGTTATGATGGTAACTTTTAGCAATTTTAACTTTAATGTATAACCTGTGAAGGTTTTAAAATTATGTGCTAGATGCAGATGAAGTTGGACTTTTTCCAGCATAGTTGGGGCATGGTTACTTCCATACCTTTCTGGCCTTACCAATTGTGACACAGGCAAGTTGACAGCTTTTAAAGGCTAAAGAAGCAGGTTACAACCTTAAAAACATTTAACAACCCTAGTATCTGACCGGCATAATGTAGACCACATTTTTACAC